TGTCCCTACCCCCACACCAATCACAACAGTGAAGGCGGGACCAAACTATCCATGATTTTTCAAATTGACTGTTTAACCAAAAAAGCAGCAAAAATAGTCCAGCGCATTATTTTTTTATTAGCATGCCAAATTGCAGCTACTTAGTTGCATTCTTTGACATGTTAGTTTTGAATGTTGTGCTTGGTTAACTTTTAGTGTCAAACAAGCTTTTGGCAAATTTTAAAATATTTTAATTTTCTTGTTTTTATGACAGGTGGTCAAACATGTTTGTTAAGCACTTCTGTATTAAAGGGTTTCCTAGACAAAAAAACAAGAGTAAACCTTGGCATGTTTGTTTAAACATTCAGATTTTTTTCCTAAATGTCTTCCTCCTGGAGCTGTAATCACAGCTTTACAGAATTGCAGACTTTTAGTTTTAACTAAATTAGGTTGTTCCCTTTCCATTTACACCGATTGCAGTAAGGTGGCAAGCGTGCAACTACCTTCTCTAGATGCTAATTTGTTTTGATTTACCCTGGTAGTGGGGCACTGTGAGTAAGGCTACATCTACTTACAATCATTAAGTGGTAGAGGAGCTCCGTTTAGTCAAACAACATCTGAGGAAAGCAGAAACTGCAAATGAAATAAGAGCAGGGTGTGAGTTTCTTAAACCTTCTAATGTGTGATTTCATGCAGGCAAAAGAGATTCCTGGAATTAAAATCTTCCGTTCATCTGCAACTATCTACTACACAAATGCCGAGATGTTCTTGGAGGTCTTGCAGGAGAAGGTATGTGGTTGCGTGTTCAATAATCTGTGCTCTGTGTGCGTATGTGTGAAATCTGCCTCTGCTTTCTACAGCACCCTCAATTGCTTTCACTATCTCTCTCACTCTTCTCACTTTCTCTCCTCTTTCTGTTTTAATGTGATGCTTGGCTCTTGTTGCAGACTGGAATCGAGATTGGGAAGCTGCTATCAGCAAAGAAGAAACGAGATGCAAAGCAGAAGCGTAGACAAGAGAAAGAGAAAAAGAAAAAGAAAACCAAGAAGGAGGCAAAAAAACAAGTATGAGATCTGAAATTAAGGTTTTGCTAATTCTTCCAAAATATATCAGTAAGTCAGAATCTTTAGTCACTAAGTTGCACATTCTCTTTAAAGGAGTCCCAGATGAACATAGAAACTGTCTCTGAAAGAACAAAAGAAGAGAGAGACGGGAATAGTGTGGACTTTAGCATGACAGAAACAGCTACAGATGGCCTTCATAAAGGCCAAATGAACTTGGCTTATGAACCTGACATAACCATGTCAGATTCAGACTCAGCCACAGGTTCTGACCACATCACAGAGTTTCCTCGGCACGGCGATGAAGAGAAAAAACGGGCCTGCAAATCGGGCACGCACAGCATCATCTTGGACATTTCCACAACCAGCTTTGTGGACACAGTCACTGTGAAGACACTGAAAAATGTATGTGTGTGCCTGCTGAAATGTTATCATTTTTCTAACGGATGACAAAGAGAGAACTAACGTGAGATTTGTCCTTTTCTCCCAGATTTTCAGGGACTTTGGAGAAGTTGATTTGGACATCTACTTAGCAGGCTGCCAAGGTAAAGGACACATCGGACAAAAACAGAGACAGAGGGTTCTCCTTAATGCTGAATTAAGGCACTGAAGCTTAACATAATGAATGCGACAAGGTCATAGCCTCGGTGGAGCCCTGCTACGCCCTGTCAGATGACAATGACACATGAATATTTATTTAGATGACTACAATATGCTCTCTCATTGTCATGCATATTTCTCTCCATTTATGTGTGGTAAAACAGCTTGTGTCGTGGAACAGCTGGAAGCAGCGGATTTCTTCTCAGCCTCCATCCCAAAGAGCCGGCTGTTTATCACCGTCCACGATGCAGTGCTTTATATTCGCAAGAAACAGTGGAAGGCTTATTTTGTGCTTGTGGGTCACCATCAATACTTATCACACTTTTGACTTCTCTGTTTATTTATCACTTGCCATTGAAGAAATACATTCTTTGAGATATTTTCACACATTGAGCTCTGGATCTTCCAATTTCTTTCAGGATGTGTCCCGCAACACCCAGATGTGACCAGCAGGGGTCAGATTCACTCAAATTTAGCCCTCTTCCTCCTCCTCTTTTCAGGCTGCTTTCTGTTTCATCACTCACCATCGTCTCCTCCCCTTTCAGTAAAGGGAGAATGAACCACCTTGACATGGCGCCCGGTTGCTATGGAAACATAGGGAGCGGTTGCTGTGGCAACAGGCTTTTTATGATATCCTCTAATGAGATATACAGCAAGACGTCACTGCATCTCTCTCACACTGTGTTGCATGCAAGGGACAGGGAAGGGGCGGGGCTTTAGTGGGAGAATGTAACAGTGGACTAATAGGAGTCTGTATTTATAGCCAGTGTGAGAGAGCAGAGTGTTAGAAAGAAAGGTTGACCCCAGAGGGACACTCATATGTGAGAGGCGTGCATCTACCAGTTGATATTTTTTTTAAAGACAACAAAAGCCAAAAGTCTCCAACGCATAATCAATAAAATCTGAACAGTGTTACTGTTTAGCTGTGC